TATATCTACATTGCTATATATCTCTAACTCTGCATATCTCCACCTTCATATATCTACAGCTCTCTATATCTACCAGTCTGAATATTTCCAGCTCTGAATATCTCCATCATTAGATATCTACACTGCTATATATCTCTAACTCTGCATATCTCCACACTTCTGATAAGCTCTGGAAATTCTTTTTCCATTTCACTGTAGTTCCAAGATTCAAATGGTTTTGCTTTTCCTTGACTGGAGGTCATGTCATCCAGGGCTCCAAGTAAATCCTCACTAGGGCTGTAGTCAGACAATTCAAAGGCAGTAATACCACAATCCAGGGACAAATAATTTTGAGAGCATTTGATAGTTAACTGTCCCGCGTCATCCACTTCAGTTAATGAATCAAGGCGGTCCTGAAATAGACAAGAGAAATGGCTGCTTTAGAAGTAATATTAGTTATGCTACATATTTAAGCTCTACAAGAATTCTCATATCTAGTATATGAAGTAAACAAAACACATGAAACAGGAACATGGTTGCCGATTATAATATCTAAGAAAACAGTAGCTACTGAAATGCCTCATAGTTTGTACAGTACAATGTGGGTGAGTAATCTGTTCTAAAATATTTGGAGGGGAAAACCCATAGGAAGCCTACCAGGTGTCCTTTGTGATACTGAAGAGATTCAACTGCAACTACGTATATAACATGGAAATCTTTACCATATCTTTCAATAACAAAACCAATTGGAAGGAGTAGAGGGACCCATAAATGTCCAGAGTGGATCTCTTAGAATTTTCTATCATTAGTCACTGAATGGGAGGGGATTTGTGGAGTCAGAGTATGTATGGCAATGGGAAGTGACCATATCCGAGTCTTATGAATCTTAAGAACTACAGAAAGAGTCATGTGGAGGGCTCCCCTCCATGCTGCTCTGTAGGCCACTGATTGATTGTTTTTAGCATGAATCTTTCTGGAGCCAAATGGCCATAAAGCACTTTAAATGGTGAAAAAAGTAATTTCTGTATACACCCTATGTTTCTATCAGGAGATCTGCTGCTCTCCTGATAGAAACTAGGAGCATGCAAGTGTTCATTCAGTTTCTCCCCAGGAACATGCCCCCTCCAGGAGAAGATCTTTAAGTTGACACCTTAAAGATCTCCTTTGTGAGAGAATCTCTTTTTTAAAAATTACACCTGTATGCTTTTGTCCTGGACTGGTTTGGGAGGGGAGGGGAGGAGAGGGGAGCAGTTACCCTGCTCCCCGCCTTTTCCCCAAAACAAAGACTGCCTGGTTTTGGGGACAGGTTTGGGACTTAACCCTCTACTCCCCCTCCCTCCTGAATGAGCTTGGGAGGGGAGGGAAGCAGTTGGGCAGTGATCTCAACCTCTTCCCCCAGACCAGAAACTGTCTTGTCTGTAGAACAGGCCAGGGACTTTACCATACTGCTCTCACCACTGCCATTATAAACTCAGAGAGGGATGGAGGAGGTTGCTCCCCACCTATTCCCCAAGTGAAGGATCCCTGGTCTATGGAAGATGAAAGAAGTCTTTCCCTGCCATTCAACCCCCCCACAGATCAGGAGGAGTGGAAGACCTAATGCTCCTCATGCCTTCCCCAGACTGGCAGTGTTATGTTTGTCCCATATGGAAATGACTGCAGCCACGAATGTGGAAAGGAGCACTGCCAGCCTGGCAGGCACAAAATATATTGTAAGCAAAATAAAACTGAATCAACATTGGCATTGGCAGGTTAAACAGAAAGTAACTTTAGGCTTGCATATGCAGATTCAACACATTCATGTATCTCACAGGGATCAATCACCCCAGTATGGTGAAGGTATGGAAAGCAGAGGAAATTTTCCATTGCTAGACATTCATTGCCATAGAGTATCACAAATCCAAAGGGGACTTCGTTTTTTGTTGCACAGTGAAGTATCTTCCAAATATAAGATTTAAAAAAAAATCCTCTTTCTGTCGAAGACCGTAAATAATAAGTCTCAAGTTGCAGCAAGGGAAGTTTAGGTTAGATATTAGGAAGAATTTTCTCACTAGGAGGGTAATAAAACACTGGAACAGGTTGCACTGAGAGGTGGTGGAGTCTCCATCCTTGGAGTTTAAGACCTGGCTACACAAAGCTTTGACTGGGATGATCTAGATGAGGATGGTCCTGCTCTGAGCAGGGGTTGGATTAGATGACCTCCTGAGGTCCATTCCATCCCTAATTTTATATGATTCTATGATTTTCAGAGTTTTGCTCACAGTCACATTAGGAGCTGTTGCCAGCATCTAGTTTTATACAGCATTAATTCCTGATGACATATCTCCAGGGGTATCCACAAGGTCAGTTGAAGATAGTTCTGTCCAACTCCTACGTGCTCATTCTTCTGCATCCTCCAATCAGAATATTCTTTATTATTAGACTCCTCCAGTCTCAGGAGCGGGAACAATCTTGATTGGTAACTAAGATTTTAAGTCAAGTCAGATTTCTGTTATATGTTCTGTTATATGTTTTTAAAGTGGATTCCATGATTGACTTGGAACAAGCAAAAATGGCAGAAAAAAAAATACATTCAGTTTACAATTTCCCTCTACATTTTGTAATACATAATTTAGTGTTCCAGGAACAAGGCAGGGCTCAGCTGTTAGATTTATAGTATATTTCAAATATGAATACTCACATAAATCCCTAAATCACAGAGCCAATTTTTGGTCTCATTCACCCTGATAAGCACCTGGAGTAACACCATTGAAGTCAACTATTTAGAACAACAAAGATCAGCACAGCAAAGGAGAATATCAAAAGAAACTAGAAAACTTTAAAAAAAAGAAAAGAAAACCAACATTAGCTCAAGTGCAGTCATTAAAGTGCAACACACAACTTAAAATATGTCATGTCTCAGTGTTCTAGTAAGCCACTTCCAAAGAAGCTATTTTCAACAAATGACCAATGATCAAAGCTGGTGTAATCTTAACAAACACAGGTTTAAAGATTGCCTCCTACAATAACCTGATCCAACTTCAAAACTCTTTACTTAATACCTATGAGCCTCATGACTCAAATAAGTTGTTAGGTTCACAAGAAAGCACTTGTACTGGACAACAACAAAAGAAACAACCCCCCCCCCCCAAAAAAAAACAAAA